ACCGCTCCGGAAACATCATCTTCAGGAAGAGCGCGAGGAACTTCAACGCGCCCATGTGCAAAGCCGCGGATATCTCGGTGGTGGAGGTGGAAGAAATCGTTGACGTGGGGGCTTTCCCCCCAGAGGACATCCATGTCCCTAGCATTTACGTGGATCGCGTGATAAAGGGGCCGAAATATGAGAAGAGAATCGAGCGGATGAGGTTCCAGGGACAGAAGACTGGAGAAGTCCTAGACAAGGACGACCCCAAAGTACGCATCATCAAACGGGCAGCTCTGGAGTTCGAGGACGGCATGTACGCCAACCTGGGCATCGGGATCCCGCTGCTGGCCAGCAACTACATCAGCCGGGACATGACCGTGTACCTGCACAGCGAGAACGGCGTCCTGGGCTTGGGCCCGTTTCCTCCCAAAGCTGAGATGGACGCGGATCTCATCAACGCGGGCAAGGAGACGGTGTCGGTGGTTCCCGGGGGCTGTTTTTTCGCCAGCGATGAATCCTTCGCTATGATCCGAGGGGGACACCTCCACCTCAGCATGCTCGGAGCCATGCAGGTGTCCAAGTACGGCGACCTGGCCAACTGGATGATTCCCGGCAAGAAGGTGAAAGGAATGGGCGGTGCGATGGATCTGGTGTCCAGTCTCAAGACCAAAGTGGTGGTCACCATGGAGCACTGCACGAGGAACAACACCCCCAAGATCATGGATAAATGCACCATGCCGCTGACCGGGAAGCGCTGTGTGGACCGCATCATCACCGAGAAGGCCGTGTTCGACGTGCACAAGAAGAAGGGGCTGACGCTGGTGGAGCTCTGGAAGGGCTTGACCGTGGACGACATCAAAAAGAGCACGGGGTGCGCCTTTAACGTGTCCCCCAACCTCAAGCCCATGCAGCAGGTGGCGACCTGAGCCGGGAGGCAGCCCTTGGGCGCGGAGCCTGGGCCTCCCAGGGCTGGCTGCTGCCCTCTCAGACTTCACTGCACAGATGGTGTTCTCTCTGGAGGGACGTGACTTTAATAAACACAGAAGGAAACCAGCCGAGGGCGTCTGGTGTGTTCTTGAGTACCGCAGGTCGCTCTGTGACCGTCCGCCGAGGAACGCGCCTCTCCCGTCTCTGTGGTTCACCTTAAATTCCAGCAGCTGGAGAGAGTCCCAGCTGATGGCACCGGCGCGCCTCCCTCATAATCCGGTCACAGAACGCAGACAAAAGACGAGGGAGAAAGCACCCCCAGGGCATAGCTAAGGGGCCGTCTCACTACTGCTGAGACACGTGGAGAGACATGCACGTGAACCTGTGACGGAGAAACGCCGTCTTCGTGGAGGTGGCCCCTGTAGCTTCTCTGACTTTCATCTGGGCCTTTCATTTCATTGGTAAAGTCTGTTTCCCAGCACCCTCCCCTCTGCCCCCCACGTCTCTCCTCCTGGTGCCTAAATAGGTGACCCTAGAAGGAAAACAGGACCGTGTCCAGGGGATGGGACCTGGTAATGGGAGAGACGGGAGGGGGCTGGTGCTGACAGCCCACAGGGAAGGTTCCTGTAGAAAGAAGCCGTGTCTGTGTTGCCCAAGGCGCTCATGATGCAAGAGGTCTAGAGACCTAAGCGACGGACTGGAAGGGTTTTCTCCACTTGAGCTGCAGGCTCCTGCATCCTCCAGACCAGACGCCTAGATCCTTCCCCCTGTTAGAGGCCCAAGTGGCCTCTGGTGTAGCAGCCCTCAGAAGCCAGGAGGGGCTGTGAGGTGTTTCATCCTGAGTCTGTAGTCTCAAAACTAAAGTGAGAAGAATGTGTGTGAGTCCATGTGTGTACGTGTGTGTGCTTGTGTGTGCGTGTGTGTGTGCCCGTGCGTGTGCCCGTGCGTGTGCATGTGCATGTGTGCGTGTGCATGTGTGTGTGTGCGTGTGTGTACTGTTGAAGACCAAGCCTGGCACGCAGCCTGCACCTTGTAAGTGAGCTCCAGGGGTTCACAGAGCCGACGGGAGCGTGCCGGGCAGAGCAGTAAGTTCTCGGTGGTCAAGGACGGCCTTTCCGAGAGGCCCCATGAGAGCCTCACCCGACAACGGAAGGGCCGGATCCTGGACAGGGGAGACGGCACTCGCTGAGGGGACAGCCTGGGGTTGTGGGGAAGTGGCCAGGCACCATGGCTGGGGGGAGGGTGGGATGAAATGTGGTTGAGTGGACGGTGGGGCACATTTGGGGGCTTCTGGGGAGGGGCGGCTGACTTGTGCTGGCTGTGAGAGTTTCTAGCAGGAGCGCGGAAAAGGCAGAGGGCCCAGGAGCGCACGGCGAGACCGCCCAACTCTGAATCCACCAGGACGGTCTGCCAGGGCTGGGCAGCCTAGGGACTGCCACCGCCAGGACTGCCCGCCTTCCTGCAGCCAGCTGGAGCTGGGGGCCCTGCCCAGGGATGGGTGGGCACAAAGCGGAGCTGGGGCAAGAGGGCTCTGGGCTCTGGAAGGAGGGACTGGGGCCTCCCCCGGGCCTGCCAGATGCAAGCTCTGAACAGAGACCAGGCATCAGTCCCCTTCTGCCCCGCAGCCCCCAGCCAGGCCTCTGCAGTTGGCTGGGGAAGGATGTGACTGTCCTGGCTCTGTCCCAGCTTGCTCTGGGACCTTGAGCAGTTGCTGCCCTCCTTGGGCCTTCGTTGCTGCTCCTGTAAAATGGGCGCCTGGGACCAGCTGCTCGCAAGGGTCCTCAGTCAGGCTCTGGTGGCCTGCGAGGCCTACAGAGGGGTCCCCGGCACCCAACTCCTCTGGCTCAGAGGAGGTCTGGGAGGGCTTGTTGGGAGAATTGACCTAATGTGTCATCATGTCTGGGCCCAGGAGACCCCCACAACTGCAGAGCCTGGAACATAGGTAGTTGCACAAAAGAAAGGCAAGTAGTGAACAAAGCCTGGAGGACTGACGGCCCCTCCCCCCACAGCCAGGGCTCCCCAGCAGCACACAGCCCTGGGTCCCAGGTCGTCCCCACGTGGCAGCCAGTGTCCGGAGTTCCCCTCCAGGTCCTGGCATCGGTGATTGCCGGCCACCCCACTCGGTGCTCTGTTCCCTCCCCATGTGACTTCTCCCGCCTGTCCCTCTGCCTGAGGCTCTGCCTCCTGTGGCTCGGCCGCTTCCCACACCCCTGACTCGCCAGGACCCGACTGCTGACTGGCTTGTCCGGGTTCCAGTGGCGGGGCCTGCGCCTGCACCCTCCCTGTCTATGGGGCTCTGGTCCTCGTTCCGAGAGGGAGCCTGTCCCGGGCCCAGAGCAGTTGTTTGTGGCAGGTGAGGTCACGGGTCAAAGGTTGGTCTCTGCATCGATTGGTTCACTCAGGTGTCCAGTGGACACCTGGTCTGAGGCACAGCTGCTTCAGGGCTGACCTTTGCGAGGGCCCGAGGGTGGGGCAGGCGGCGTCCTTGACCTGCAGTGTACAATGGAGGCCCACGTTGTATAAGGTGCCTATGAATGTAGGGGTGTGTGTGTGTGTGTACACATGTACATGCATGTGCGTGTGTGCACGTGTGCGCCTATCAGTGCTGTGACATGGCAGTGAAACGTGCTCTCATGCAAGCTGACCACTTGGCACTGTGTTTAAAGAGACGCACTCGTGAGCTAGTGACCCTGCTTCCGGGACTCAGGGCAAGAAGATCTCACACGCGCAAAATGCAGAGGCTCCGCCGCAGCCTCGTCTTCACAGCGAGAGCCGGGAGACCCCCCACGTGACCCAGGACAAGCGACCTCTCAGTGATCACGGTGTGCGCCCCACGGGACTTCATACGCTGGAAATGTTTAGTGCAGACATTTTAACAACCAGAAAATTGTTTATGTTAAAAAGCAGAAAAGCCTGGTGTGGCGGCGCGGTGGACCCGGAACGTCAGGGAGGCTGAGGCGGGGAGCAGGTCCGTTGAGGCCAGTAGTTCGGAGACCAGCCTTAGAAGCGCAGGCAGTCTCTGAAAAAAACAATTGCAGAAAATACAGACTTCTTTCCTGGGCTCACAAACTGGTTAAAACTTGAGAATCCACATAATGAAAATAGCCGAAAAATTAAAAAACGGATCATGTAGGAGTTGAGGAGGGGGTTAGGATGATATTTTTTCTCAAAGGCGTTCTTGTACTGTTGCCGTGTTATCGATGCTTGCTCTCACAGTAAAGAAAGGAAGAGAGGTCATTTTGGAACGCAAACAGGCGCCCTTGGCGGACCCCCGGTGGGGGGTGCAGGGGAACTGTGGGTTGGTCAGCTTCGCCGTGTCCAGGGTCAGGGATCAGGGTCTGTAACAGGCGTTCTTGGGTCTCGGGGCGCTGTGGAAAAAGTTCCCGTTCCACAGGCTTCGCGGACCTGCGGCTGAGCCGAGCCACGGTCCCGCCTTCAGCCCCGTCTGTCTCTTTCTTTTCTCACGCCGTCCTGGGCTTGGGCTCGTGGAATAGGACCGACGGGCTGCAAGCCGGGCTCCGGACTGGGGCTGGCAGGCTGTCTGGCGCCCCGCGGAGCTGGCGCCTCCTCTGCGGGCCTCAGGGAGCCGGTCGCCGGCGCCCCGTGGCTGCCGCGGCTGAGCAGCGACTCCTACCCGCGCGCTGCTGCCCCCCGCCGGCTGTCCCGCCAGGGGCGACAGGTTCGCACCACGGAGCAGGCGGGAAGGCAGGACACGGGCTCTGCAGGCCTCGGAGGTCGGGGCCCCGGTTCTGGGAGTCACGGGGCAGGGCTCCTGGGTCGCCACGGCAAGGCCGCTGAAGCTGTGTTCGTTGTACGTGCGCGACTCGGGATTACTCACGAGGCCGAACGATGGTGCCAGTGGGAGATCCTTTGAACTCGACCACGAACGGTCGTTGTCGCGCATTATCACGTACATACCACGCCTGCGGCCCTTTCATTTTTGAGGGCCCCTCCAACCCCCCCCGGCCTCCTCCTAGATCTTGCGCCAGGGAACCGGGGCTGGACTGGGCTCTGGGCTTCGTGAGGAAACTGCAGCTCAGCGGCCGCCTCGGCCCCTCAGGCTCCAAGGCCCCTGGCGGGGGGGGGCGGCCGGGGAAGCTCCCTTGTTCCCCGCTGCAGGCCCCACCTCGTGAGTGACCCTGCTTCCTCTGTCTCAGGGCACAGCGTGGATCCTGCTGGCCGGTCTCGCTGGGTGCGACGCGGCACACGCGCCAGACAGCCTTCTGGTCACTTTCTTCAGGGCCAGCGCGAGCGCCCCGCGCTGCCGGCCCCTCGGGCAGTGGACCACTGAAGAGGAGGCAGCCGAAAAGAACCAACGAGCTTGCCGCACGCGCTAACAGACTCCGGATCTTCGTGAGGGCCGGGCCTGGCCTGGGTTGGGCCTGCGACTTTGGCCGAGAGGTGGGCAAGAACCAGGTGGTGCACAGAGCCTCGGGGCCTCGTTCAGTTTAAGCCCTGTCACTTCCAGCAACGTCCCCGACTCTGTCTTGCTTGAGGCACCGTGCCGACCGGCGCTCCACTCTGCGAGGCTCGCAGCCTCTGCCCTGCTGTCCCTGCCGCCCGGAGAGTCCCTCGCTGCTCCCTGGCTCTCCCAGGCCTTTCCAGGAGCCTGCCTCAGCTGAGCCCCGGGCGCCCTGCAGGACCCTCAGCTGTTTATGGAAGGTCCTCCCCAACAAGGCCCAGCCCTCGGGACCAGGGATAGGTTGACGCCATGCTGTCCTCCCTTCACAGAGACTCAGTGCTTGTGCTGCCTCGATGGGAGCCACTTGAACGCGAGAAATGGGGTGTGAGGGGGGTGGCACGAGTCAAGAGGGGGCCAGGGAAAGAAAAGAGGAGGCCAGGATGGCGAGGGTCTGCTGGCTGTCTTATGGAGCTCAGGCGGCTCACAGGCTGATAAGACAGGGGAGGCCAGACCTCAGGCTCCCCTAGCCAGGGGAGCCACGGAGTGCTCTTGAGCTGGCCAGGCACGAGGAGAGCTCCAGGGGGGCTTTATGAGACCAAATGGTTTCCTGACATTGTTTATCCAACAAATGTGCCCATCAGGCGACCCTACTCTAGCACCCATGGCACAGCACAGAGCAGAACGCCAGAGAAGACTTGTCCGCCCTGTCCCTGCAGATGACGTCCACGGCTCCGGCGGCCGGCAGGTTTGCCGTCGGCACGAGCTCTACGTCAGCTTCCAGGACCTCGGCTGGCTGGTAATTTCTGACCCTTCTCCGTCTTTCTTAAATGAAAATCCCCACGTGTGGATCACACGTGTATCTGCAGGGAGGACATAGGGTTATGGGTGACTTCCATTTTCTCTCTCTGTTTTTTAGACAGGGTCTTGCTCTGTCTCCCAGGCTGGAGTTCAGTGACACAATCACAGCTCACAGCAGCCTCAAACTCTTGGGCTCAAATGATCCTCCTGCCTTAGACTCCCGAGTAGCTGGGACTACAGGCATGCACCACTATGCCCAGCTAATTTCTTTTTTTTTTTATAAAGACAAGTCTCGCTATATTGCCTGGACTGGTCTTGAACTCCTGGCCTCAAGTGATCCTCCTGCCTCGGCCTCCCAAAATGCTGGGATCACAGACGTGAGTCACCACACCCAGCCCAGTTTTTTTCTTTCTTTCTTTCTTTCTTTTCTTTTTTTTTTTTTTTTTTGAGACAAGGTCTTACTCTTTTGCGCAGGCTGGAGTGCCAGGACGCGATCATGGCTCACTGCAGCCTCAAGCTCCCAGGCTCAAGTGATCCTCATTCTCCCAAGTAGCCAGAGCTACAGCGTGGCACACCACGGCCTGCTAATTTTTATTTTATTTTATTTTTCGTAGAGACAGGTCTCATTATGTTGCCCGGGCTGGTCTTGAACTCCTCGGCCTCCCAAGGTTCCGGGATTACAGGTGTGAGCGCTGAGCCCGGCTCCAGTTTTCTTTTTCTGTTTTTCTGTTTTCCAAGTTTTCTAAAGTGAGAATATGTTACTTACAGTGAAGAAGAGGTTTTGTTGTTGTTTTGTTTTGTGAAAACCATGAAAATGAGACTGAATCCTCCCAGCCTAGGCTTGTGGCGCTGCACAGCGACCGAGTGGGCGGCGGTGCCCGGCGGTGCGCTTGACCGCGGCCGGCGCGGCGGGGGGGCAGGCTGGAGGACAGAGGGAGGCGGGGAGTGAGGGCAGACTCGGGCTCTGTCTGCAGAGGGTCCTGGTGGACTCGGCCCTGAGGGTGGCGGATGGCCCTGAGGCTCCGGGAGGCGAGGGGCAGTCCTGGGTCGTCCTGTGACGCGCCCTCTGACAGGACTGGGGGCGGAGGAGGGGCGCGTGCTGGACTCACCTTCCCCCCTGTCCCCAGGACTGGGTCATCGCCCCCCAAGGCTACTCGGCCTATTACTGCGCGAGGGGGGTGCTCTTCCCTTGGATCCTGCATGAACCCACCAACCACGCTCCTGCAGTCCCTGGTCAGTCTCCCCGTCACGCCGGCCCGGGCCTGAGGAGAGGGGCTGGTGCGCCAGGAGGCGCGAGGGCACCTGCTCCGGTCTCAGGGCGCGTTCTCTGCGTGGCTCGGTGAGGTGGTGAAATCCCGCAGCTGCTGCAGAATCCGCTCCTCACGGCCCTGCTTGTACACGCAGACACAGCCCCGAACAGGCGTGCTACACCCGCACTTACACATGGTTCAGTACACGTACACATCCCGTGTGCTGCACACGCGCATGTGGGTCACTTATGTCCCTGCGTGTGGGCACCCAGACTGACAGGCACCGCTCTCACGGTCACAGGCATGGCACCCAGTAGACATGGGGTACCTGTCTCTCGGGGCCTGCGTAATCTTGACCCACATGTGTGCCTGTGTGCACGGTGCAACTACCAAACCCACAGAAGGGGGTTCGGCGCCTGTTGCTCACGGCACAGAAGCCATCACTGAGGCGGCGAGGGTGGCCAAGGAGGCCTGATAATTTATCACAGGTGACGACCTCCCTGGAGAAGGCAGTGATGCCTCAGATCGCGCCGAGGGCAGGTGTGTAGAGGGAGGGAGGGTGGCGTGTGCGCCGATGTCCTCTGGCGCTCTCTGTTTCTGGGAGACGGCGCAGAAGGGAGCGGGTTAGTGGAAGAGCAAGATTATGACGTCTGGTCGAGGAGCCCGACGGCCCGGGAACCCCAAGCATAAGGAAGCCGCAGGGAAGGCACAGACGGGGTGTCACTGTGTTTGCTCCTGGGGCCGGTTACAGTCTGACCACGACACACACGCACCACGTGAGGGACACACACGCACCACGTGAGGGACGTGTGGTGCTTTTCCCCACCCCCGCCATGGGGGTGGGGGCAGGGCGAGTCCGGGCTCTGGCTGTCAACCCCTTGGCATTGTCCTAGTTTCTTCCTCAGCCGTTTGTGTTTTCTCTCGACTGTGGGGTTTTCCATGCCTCAGTGTCTGGGGCAACTTTAAAAGATGAAGAAAAGTTTCTATGGAAACATCGTTGCTGCTGCTTCTTGCTAAGTGTTTGTATGGCGATTCTGGCACCGACTTCCTTGCAGAACTTTTTACCCAGAATCCTAGTTCCTAGGATCCCTCGGCCTTATGTTCTTCTAGTAAGAGGTTGTTCGAAGGTGATGCCCGTGTGAGAGGAAAGGAATTGGCAAAAGTGGCCGTGACCTGTAACACTTCCTTTCTCAGGGTCACATGGCGTTGTCAGGGCACCTGGACAAGCTCAGGGGAATGACAGGACTCATGGGGTGGCCAAGCCCAGCCTTTGCGCCCTGCGGCTCTCAGGATCAGGCGAGGGAGGTGCTTGGGGAGGTGATCACACCTCCCCGGACTCCCGTCCCTCTGCCACACACCCCTGCCACTCACTTAGCCCAAGCCCCCAGCGGCTCCACGAGCCACCAGGCAGCAGGGAAGATGGGCGCTACCGTCTGGGGGAGGCTGTGGGTGAGCTGGTCAGCAAACCACCAGTACGACCACGCGTCCTGTGACCAAGAGAAGTCGGGCCCTCAGGGGAGGGTGCCAGGCTGGGCCTCTGTGCACAGGGAGGTTCCATGTTGGGAGTTGGAGGAAGAATGTTCCAGGCAGAAGGAGCAAGTGCGAGGCCCTAAGGCAGGAGCGAGCCTGGGGGCTTCAGGGCCAGCAGGGAGGCGGGGCTGGGCAGAGAGCGAAGGGGGGGGGGCGGTGATGCTGGGGATGGGCAGGCCACTCTCCTCGGGCCTGGGGGTCTCTGGAAAAGAGGGTGGGTCTTATTCCAAGTCCCCTGGGAAGCTGTGGGGGTGTTTAGCAGGGCCTGGCTGTGGTGGGAGGGTGGGCAGTAGGGGTCAGTGGTGTGAGAGGCAGGCAGACCAGTGACAGCTGCTGTGGTCACTTGATGGGGCACCCTGGAGACAGGCCAGGGCGGGGAGCAGGCTGAGTGGGGGGCTGGGCTGGGGAGGCCTTGGAGGCTGCCAGGCTCATGCCCCTGCATGCACCCCTCACTGCCCAGGTGCACCTGATGAAGCCGGACGCAGTCCCCAAGGCGTGCTGTGCGCCCACCAAGCTGAGTGCCACCTCTGTGCTCTACTATGACAGCAGCAACAACGTCATCCTGCGCAAGCACCGCAACATGGTGGTCAAGGCCTGCGGCTGCCACTGAGGCCCTTGCCCACCTGGCCCCTACCTGGCCCTGTTGTAGCCGCCCCTTCCCATCTGGGTCAGGCCCTGCTCCAGGGACAGGAAACCCTCAGACCTGGCCAGACCACAGGCAGAGCCCTCAAAATCATGTCCATGTCCCTCCCTGCTTCAGGCCAGGCTTGGTCCTCTCCAGGCCCCTGTGCTCCCCTCTCTCTGAATGATGTGGGCCCATCCTGCCTCCAGCCCTGGTGGTCTGAGTCATCTATAGCATGCTATCCAGTCACCCCAATCCCCACCCCAAGCCACATAGGGACCAGCTCTTTGGAGTTGGCACGAAATTCCTGTCTGAGGTCATGTCCATGCCCATCAGTGGCCTAAGCTGTCAGAGGATGTGGGATGACCTGGGAGCCACCTGGATCATGACTGTCCACCTTGGGCTCTTCATTATCCATCACAGGGTTTGGGTATATGTAGAGGGGGGGTAGGCCCCTTCACCCCCACCAGTTGTCTGTCACTCCCAGGTATAAGACTGGGCATTTCTGGACCTGCATGGTATACAATATACCATGTTGTATATTCATGGCTCTGAGTTATTGATCTACTGATCATAGATAAGCATATGGGGTCAACTCAAGAAAAAGCAGAATGAACTACACGGTTTAGGGCTAAAGCCAATGGCATTTATCTTTCAACCTGTGTCTGCCTGTGCTGTCTGGGAAAGAAATACAGTGCATGGACATTTTGCTTTGAAGAAACAGAAAAATCACTCTGGGAGGCCAAGGCGGGTGGATTGCTTGAGGTCAGGAGTTCGAAACCAGCCTGAGCAAAAGCGAGACCCTGTCTCCACTATAAATAGAAAGAAATTAATTGGCCAACAAATATATATATAGAAAAAATTAGCCGGGCATGGTGGTGCATGCCTGGAGTCCCAGCTACTCGGGAGGCTGAGACAGAAGGATTGCTTGAGCCCAGGAGTTTGAGGTTGCTGTGAGCTAGGCTGATGCCACAGCACTCACTCTAGCCTGGGCAACAAAGCGAGACTGTCTCAAAAAACAAAACAAAACAAAAAAAACCAGAAAAATCTTGGAGGCTTCTGATTGACCCATCTATCTGCCCCTTGTTGACCGTCCCATCAGGAGCTCAGCCCTGTGGCAGTTTTCTTTCTCCTGAGCAAGCATGGCTATTGCATTGGGTGGCCCAGGATGACAACACACAGTGCAGATGCCATCATTTCCCTTTCTCTTCTGCATGGCAGACATCAATAATTGATCTTGATATTTTTTTCTTCAAAATCTGGACAGAATTGGCAAGTTATCAGCACAGGATTTCAGACAGCCCCTTACAATAGATTAAAGTTGGTCTGTGAAGTGAAAACCATTGGCCATCTTCTGCCATGCTAAGGAGCTATCCATTCCCTGCCGAGCAATGTATCTGCAACACTGGGCGGCCTGTGGCCAGGCCTGGGGCGAGGCCAGGGGATTGTCAGAATGTTTGTGTCTAGGAGTTGTCAAAAACAGGTTGGTCATCAAAGTCTGCCTCACCCTGGGTATCCAGCAGCCCTGTCCTGTGTCTTGGGTCTGTGAGTCAAAGAAAAGGCCCCTGTCCCAGGGAGTGACAGGTGGTAATTAGACTGGGTTGGGTGAGAAGGTTTGTCTCAGCCCCCACTGTTCCCAGAAACTGCTGTTCTCCTTGGAGCAGCTGCTGGGGAGAGCTGGGGTGTTTATTTGATTTCTGACTTGCTAAGCCTGTAATTTACCTGCTGGAACAGAGAGAGTCCAGCTGCCCGAACTGTGCCATTGAAAGCAGATTCTGGGCCTGTCCCCATCCACAGGCACAACCCAGTGAGGTAGAACCACCCATGTACCCAAGGATGTGCTTCTCAGGATTTCACATGCTGCACCCTGAGGAGGGGCCTCGGAGGGCAGGTCTGGCGGCAGCGGTGGAGGCTGGGGCCACGCTGCGGGACAGCAGCCCCTCCACCTGGACCAGGGAGGGCCTCCGTGTGCCAGCGCAGAGGAAGACACCCTGCCATGTACATGAGGGCAGGCCCGGCTGTCTGGAAGGTGTTAGGTTCCCCATCACTGTAGAGATCTCAGCTGTGGCCTGGATGTAATGAGACCTGACTTGTAGGTAGCTTCCTTCTCTGGGCCTGTTTTCCATCAATTCTATAACAGGAATTGGACTTGTTGACCTCCAAAGGGCCTTCAGCCAGGGAATCTATCAACATCTCACACTGAGCTCAGAAGCATCCTCATAACCCTCAACGTGGAGCTCAGGGGGCTGTCACGAAGCAGAGCTGGCACATAACATGGAACCTATTTGCCCTTCTAGTACTTACCTAACAATTATTTCTTCTCAACACCAAGGATTGTCTTTTAGGCAATTGTAAATTTTAAATCAGCCAATTATTTTGACAACTAATTTTTTACTTTACCCAGTTTCTTTAGTGCTCAGACAATGATCTGGCGTAGTTAGGAGTGAACAGGATTGTCTGTCAAGTTACCCAGAGGTTTGCAGAAGTGGAGCACACCTAACCCATCAATCAAGCTGTGCCCAAGCAGGAACTGATAGGAGCTGTGACCTCCTGGTTCACGCAGAACTGAGAAACTGTAAGGCTTTGCCAATCTACCTGGCTGTCAGTCTTCCAGCAACTTTTGCCATCCAGATAATCACCAAATGAAATCAAATAGAAGAATCCCTTGAATAGTGAAACTGTTGTGAATGGACACAAGGCCCAAGCATTATACTCCATAAGTTGTCTGGTTGCTGAGCCAAAAATGACAGCTGCAGTGGGGAGGCCAGGCTGGCAGTATAGATACCAACATTTCCCTTTTCCTTGCCTAGGGCATGGCCTGTTTATCTGTTGCACCAGACTAGAAGAATAAACAAGGGTGGTCAGTTCAGATCACTGACAGCGATGAGAAATCAATGACAGCTGACAGAAGGGAGGACATATATAAAAATAGGCTAAGGAGAAATGCCCAGCAGTCTTGGTACTTGCAGTGCAATACTGGCCTTGAGGCCAAGTCAGCACAGGGTTAGTGTTTACTGTTTTCTAACAAAGGTAGGGAGTAACATGTTTTGGAAAAATTCCAAAGAAGTAGGACAAGAGGTAGCACAGCCAGAGTACAGATTTTGGGAGCCAAATGGATTGGAATGGTTCTTCCTTTATAGAGCGGGATATTGGTTCTTTCCTCCCAAAGCTATTATAAAAATTAGATCTGTACACAAACATTTGAGACATCTAGCATATAAATACTTCGCAATTGGTACTTGGTATTATAACAAATGAATTTGCTTTTGAGTCACTTCTGTGCCCATTAAAACAAAATGTGTTCTGCAGGTGTTGGTGCCTTTATTTCAGAGCTGTGCTTTTTCCTAAAAAATCTATACATGGCATTACTTGGAGAGTAGGACTTGCATTCTCACTGCCTCTAAAGGCCTGGCAGGTGTCTCATTTGTGGCAGTGGCCGGGGCTCTTGTGTTTCCAGAGACACAGGTATCACATCCTGTGGAGAGGTCTGAGCCTACCAGTGCCTTGCACAGCAATCTGAATGGAGGAACTGCCAGTGCAAATGGGAGAATTCTTGTACTACTTACAAGCAGGCCATATGCAAGCACTTGACCCCCTTCTTAAAAAAGGCTTTTCATTTCTTAAAAACAATAGTGCAGGCCGGGCACAGTGGCTCACGCCTGTAATCCTAGCACTCTGGGAGACCAAGGCGGGAGGATTGCTCAAGGTCAGGAGTTCAAAACCAGCCTGAGCAAGAGCGAGACCCCATCTTACTAAAAATAGAAAGAAATTAATTGGCCAACTAATATATATAGAAAAAATAAGCTGGGCATGGTGGCGCATGCCTGTAGTCCCAGCTACTCGGGAGGCTGAGGCAGGAGGATCGCTTGAGCCCAGGAATTTGAGGTTGCTGTGAGCTAGGCTAACGCCACGGCACTCACTCTAGCCTGGGCAACAAAGTGAGACTCTGTCTCAAAAAAAAACCCCCAAACCAAAAAAACCCACAATAGTGCAGTTTGGGAGGAAAGTGGGATATACAATGAATAAAATACAATTCAAATCACCATAGCCTTACAACTATGACAAACACACAATATTTTGGTGACTTTATTTCTAGGCTTTTTGCTTAAGATACACATATAAATACCTATGTTTACATATTATAAATATGTCTACAAAGTTGGCATCACACTGTGCTCTATAAATTGCTCTGTGGTGTGCTTCCTCTACTTGAGTTTCCTGTCACCTGAACTCTCCAAGTCTCAATTTTTACCACTAAAAAGTCAGCCCCATAATTCCTTCCTCGGAGGGTGGCTGCCATGACCATGTATGCCAGTAGCATCTGGAGGCAGCTGTAAGAGGAAACTCCAGCAGTCACAGCATGGATCCTGGGGCTACCATCCCTGGTCTCTGCCTTTGTGCAGCTGTTACACGACCAGCACACGGATGGTCTCAACTCTGAATGAGTTAGGAAATGAATCAGCAAAATGGGCCCTGTGCCCTCGGTCCTGGCGCTGGAGCAATGGAGCAATAAGAACAGCGAAGGGGTCCTGCAGTGCCTCTGGGTCAAATTCCCAGATAGGCCAGAGCCCTTCTGAGGCGACAGGGGGCTGCCATTGCATTGAGTGGCTGACGCAGACAGTCAGACTGCTGGGCACGCTGCTCCTCAAGCTCTGGGGCCCTCTCCTCTCTCCTCCAGCTGGGAAGGGTAGGACCCTGTTCCCTGTGTCTTCCCATAAGGGTTCAGGCCAGCGATGGGGACCATGACTGTGTCTTCCTCCAGGGCCTTGGGCCCCACCTGCCATAGATTGAGGCCAGAGCCCAGAAAACCTCCCAGGATCCTATTACTACTGGGGAGAGACAAGCCAAGATTCCAGTCCCAGCTCTGCCACACCACCTTAGGTGACCTTTGGCAGTCACGTCACCTGAGCTCTGGTTTACCTGTGCAGGATTCCAGTGTGGGTTCAGTGAGATAACATCTATGAACACCAGGCAGAGCACAGGGAGAGGAGCTGGCACCCACTGACTCCAAACCTGCTGAGCTTTCAGAACTGCCCACTGCCCTCCACCTCCCCAGGCTATCAGGAAGGAGTAGAAGGTGACAAGGTGGTCACAGGAGTCCATCCTCTTGTGGGAGGCTGGTTGTGCTAAGCTCCTCAGACACAGCCTCTCTTGGTTCCTGTACAAGCCCTAGGTCAGTGCTATTGTCTCCAGCTTCACAGATGTATGCCTTAACACTTGTGACTGATCTCTGATGGCCAGTTTGCACTATGACTCTGCGCTTTGAGGTTCTCTTTTGTGAGCTCCACAGAGGTTAGGCGGAACTATGTGGTACACCCCAGCCCCGTGGAGTCAGAAACAGCCAACTGCAGCAGGAGCTCAGAAAGTCCAGTTGGCACATGGTAGCCAGAAGTAAGGCTAAAATGCCACCATCCCTCGGCAAGACCTATCCTGGGTCATGGGGCCATACAGGCCTCTCCTGCCACGTCTAGAACTCAACTCAAGATGTGAAAGCCCAGCCTAGTGGATTTGGAATGGTCTGAGTAACCCAACCCACAGGGAGGTGTCCAGTGGGGACACCAGGACTCCAGAGCTCAGTCCCTGCTTAGAGCCTTCAGCAGATGAGGGATTCTTTAAAGCCACCTGGCCGACCAGCCTCTGGAGGGGAAGAGGGAGAAGCCAGCCTGGCTCGAGCTCCAAGCAGTGGCTGCACACAGGAGGGCCAGACTGTGAGCTCAGCAGGGGATGGGGCCATTTGTTCTGTTCAGTGGTTGGCAAACTTTTTCCATAAAGGCTCAGATTGTAAATATGTAAATATTTGGGCTTTGAGACTGTGGTGGTTAATTTTATGTGTCAACTTGGCTAGGCCATGGTATGCAGCTTTTGGTCAAATGCTCTACATGTTGCCATGAAGGTATTTTTTAGATGGATTAATATGTAAGTCAGGGCTGGGCATGGTGGCTTACTCCTGTAATCCTAGCACTCTGGGAAGCCGAGGTGGGAGGATCACTTAAACTCAGGAGTTCAAGACAAGCCTGAACAAAAGCAAGACCCCATCTCTACTAAAAACAGAAAAAATTAGCCAGGCATGGTGGTGCTCACCTATAGTCCCAGCTACTCAGGAGGCTGAGACAGGAGGATCACTTGAGCTCAGGAGTTTGAGGTTGCTGTGAGCTAGGCTGACGCCATGGCTCTCTAGCCAGGGCGACTGAGTGAGACTCTGTCTCAAAAAAAAAAAAAAAAAAAAAGTCAGTCAATAGAGTAAATACATTACCCTCTACCCTCTCTAATGTGGGCAGGCCTCACCCAATCGGTGGAAAGCCCAAAAAGAAAAAAGACTGAGGTCACCAAAGGAAGAAATTCTGTCTCCAAATTGCCTTTGGACTTGAGCTGCAACATCAATTTTTTTCTAGCCTGCTGGTCTGTCATGTAGATGTCAGGCTTGCCAGCCCCCACGACCATGTGAGCTAATCCCTTAAAATAAATCTGTCTCTATACACATCCTGTCAGTTCTGTTTCTCTGGAGAACTCTAACACAGGACCACACGGCCTCTGTTGCCAACTACTCAACTCCGCTGAGGTAGTGAGAAACCAGCCATAGAAAATACATAAACAAATGGATGTGGCTGTGTTACAATAAAACTTTATTCACAAAAACAGGCAGTGGGCTAGATTAGGCCCATGTAGTTTGCTGACCTCCTGTCTCCTGACAAGCATAGTACCTTGTAGAGAGAAGGCACTTTGAGTTATAAAATATCATTTAAAAAATCCATAGAACGAAGGGGAACAAATAAATAAATGAATCATTGAAACTGATCAGTATACTTGCTGGCTATAAGACTGGCAGCTGAGTTTAGGAGCAGAGGCAGCAGCAGACCAGGCTTTCCCCCTATCTTTGATTTCCATTGTCCTGATGTGGTCTGACACGGGTATCTGAATGAAGATACATCATTTGGCATCTAAGGGGACTGGCCCAAGGGAGGAAATGAAAGCTATGGGGAAGAGGCTACGCCCTACCCACTTGCCAGCTTGCCTCAGGAGGACAGCTTAGCCACAGAGAGACTATCTCTGGCAATTCCCGGGAACTATTAATAGCTGGAGGCAGCAGTACAAAAGAACTAGGATTTATTTTAGCAAAGACAATGTTCAAAAGCCCAGGACAGACCCAGCAGCAAATGCTGGGAAAAGCCGGTAGCCACGTATAGCCTGCCCATGGCTCTGGGGCCCACAGCCACTCTTGGAAAAAGTCCAGGCTGTACTGGCAGATGAGCTGCTCCAAGCTGACCCTGAGGAAGGGCTCATGCCACAAACGCTGCCTGCTTCAGACAGCTGAGGCTGGCAGCTCCCTCCTGGGTGCACAGGAGCAAGAGCAGGCCTCTCACACAAACTCCCCGCAGTCCGCGATGATCACCTTCTGCTTTGGCTTCCCGTCCTTGCTGCCCTGGGCCTTTGTGGGCAGAAGAGAAGTCAGGGGAGTCAATGGGGAGAATAAAGAGTGGCTTAGGACACCCACGCCCACCCTGGAACCTGGGTGGAAGCAGCCCCTCCTCCTGGAAACAGCCTGGTCCCATCTCCCAGGTCGCAGAGCGCCCTGTCCAGGCTCACCCTCCACAGGCTGTGCACCCAGGTGAGGCGGCGGCCTGTTCCCAACCACATACCTCAATCTGCCGCAAGACATCCAGGCCGTCAGTGACCTCGCCAAACACCACGTGCTTGCCATCTAGCCAATCTGTCTTGTCACATGTCAGGAAGAACTGAGAGCCATTGGTGTTTGGGCCAGAGTTGGCCATGGAGAGTAGGCCTGGGGGAGAGTATGACCATGTCAGCTCCCCCACCCCTAGCAACCAACCCTTAAAGGACATCTGTGCAGTGTTGGCAGCCCTTCAGCCAGGCAGGCTCAGACTATGGGATGCTCACAGATCATGCAGATACAGCCATTTATCTTTCATTCAATTAATAGTCAGTGAAATGGGATGAGCGAGGTTATTTCAATCATTTTATACTGGTTTGTTCTTTCATTGGCTCATGCCTGTAATCTCAGCACTTTGGGAGGCTGAGGCAGGAAGACTGTTTGAGGCCAGGAGTTCAAGACTAGGCTGGGCAACACAGCAAGACCCTGTCTCTACAAAAAAGTTAAAAAATTAGCCAGGTGTGGTGGCTCATGCCTGTAATCCCAGCTACTTGGGAGGCTGAGGCAGGAAGATTGCTTGAGCTGGGAGGCTGTGAGCTATGATTGTGCCACTGTACTCCAGCCTGGGTGACAGAGTGAGACTATCTTAAAAAAAAAAAAAAGAAAGAGGCTGGGCGCGGTGGCTCACGCCTGTAATCCTAGCACTCTGGGAGGCCGAAGCGGGCAGATTGCTTGAGGTCAGGAGTTCGAAACTAGCCTGACAAGAGCGAGACCCCATCTCTACTATAAATAGAAAGAAATTAATTGGCCAACTAATACATATAGAAAAAATTAGCTGGGCATGGTGGCACATGCCTGTAGTCCCAGCTACTCAGGAGGCTGAGGCAGCAGGATCGCTTGAGCCCAGGAGTTTGAGGTTGCTGTGAGCTAGGCTGATGCCACGGCACTCACTCTAGCCTGGGCAACAAAGCAAGACTCTGTCTCAAAAATAAATAAATAGGGTCTCAGCTGGGCCAAAAACAAGGCCTGTGGGGCTGGGGACCGCTCTGGAGTTTTAAGAAAAGATTGAACTGCTCTTGGGGATAGAGGCCAGACTACAAATTTCCAACATCAGGGGGTGGGGGGGTGGAGTTTTAAAAGGACACAAAATGTCTCTGTCCTTTATTTTTTTTCCCTCTCTCTAGACCATTCCCCCTATTACACTGTGAAATTCATGATGTTAAACAGTTTTTCCTGGGAGAAATTTTGTGGTCGGGGCTATGTTAAGTAGGAAGGGTGTTTTATATGTTTCCAGGACATCATAAAAAATTGAGCAGACTCATCTAGGATCATTAGGGAAATGAATGATTTGCCTCTCCTAAATGTTGAGCTACCACAACAAGCTGCAGGAGGGGACCCTCCCGGACACCTATCCACTGACACAGGCCCCACGGGAGTGTGTTGCTCACCCTATTCATTTAGAAATGTATACTTTGGAATCAATAAAATAAAATTCACAGGAAGAGAAAATACATTGTTCTCAGCCTAGGATAAAAAGTCACAAGTTGTTGTAGAATTGATTCTGTGATTTAAATTTTTAAACGATATTCCATAAACCTAAAAAAACACACAAATAACAAAAAAAACAAAGATAAAACAGAAACCGGGAAAAGAAAAAAAAAAAACCCTGGGCAGAGGCCTACGGTGGGGGCGGGGAGGCAGGCAGGGAGCGGGAGGAGGAGGAGGGGCCCCTCCCTGGGACAACAGGGAGGGTGGGGAAAAAAAATAAATAAATAAATAAAATAAAAAAATAAAAAAAATTTTAAAAAAAAGAAAGAAAAAAGAAAAAAAACAAATAGTCTACTTTGAAACCAGGCCCCTGTTAAGCCTTGAGAACACTAATAAGCAAGACATAGTCCTAAAAGTAGGTGGAAAAAGAGTCATTCAAAAGGTAATTGTGCTATGACAGCTATGACATAGTGAAGCCCAGTGACACAGACTTTTGTGTGCGGAATGGAAGCAAGAGGCAGTCATGTAAGGGAATGTATGTGTGTGTATGTGTGTGCACCGGAGATGACTGGACATATGGTGACACAGGAGAGGAGTCAAGGCTGACTCCTAAGTTTCCAACCAAGCAGCTAAGTGGATGGTGGTGTCATTTACTAAAACAGATAAGAGGGAGAGGAAGAGTTTGGAGGAGAAGGCAAGAATTGTTTTGGACATGTGAAGTTTGAGATGCTCATGGGGTATCCAGCAAAGACAACAGGCAGGCAGTTGGGCAGGAGTCTGGAACCTCTGGAAATCTGAATGTGGGTTTTTTTTTGTTGTTATTTGTTATAGATGGGGTCTGGCTATGTTGCCCAGGCTGGGATGCGGTGGATATTCGAAGGCATGATCATAGTACACTCACCATAGCCTCAAATTTCCTGGCTCAATTAATCATTCTCCCTCAGCCTGCCAAGTAGCTGGGCCTACAAGTGTGTGCCACTGCACCCAAGCACTGAATGTGTTTCTTATTATCAGATATTCTTATTACCAGATATATTGTGGGGTGCTACTGGCATTTAGTGGGTGGGAACCTGGAATGCTAGATGATCTGCAGTGTCTTGCACAATGAAGAATTGTCCCATATCCTCTTGGTGTTTCAAATGTCCTGCCAGACATTAGTATAGGTGAAAAATGTGTTTATAATTACCTGTACCTAAAACTGAATTCCATTCTGCATATCACCTCAAAGTTTTGGAGGTTTGTTTTATTTTTTATGAAATCTTCTAGGAACGCAACTACTATATACATCAGTAGAATGTTATTCTTCAATCTGGAATCTAACCAACTTTATCTACCATTTCACAAAATCATGTCACCAACAGCAACACTGCTCACATTACCCAAGTTGCAGTTGGGTATACCTGCCTGCATTTCTAATTGCTGCATCTGAACACATCTGTATAACTCTCTTTGTCTTCTGGCATAGCTGTGCTGGAACATTTACATCCAGAAACACGTATTCTTTTATTACAACTTACTTTCCTTTGATAGTCTTCCCTATTAGTTATGGAATTATTATGATTTTTAAAATAATTACGTAGGTAGGTGGGATTTATCATCTATGCATTTCACAGTTTGGCATAGTAAAGAGGGGTACTATTAATACAAACTATCAGTTAGAAAAAGGGGGTACTGGGTAACAAGTTTCTATGGAGAACAAAAGACTGAGCTCAGAGCTATTTCGATGCTTAAGGGTCAAAAAAGGGAGGAATCAGGAAAGGCTGACCAAGTAGCCAATTAGGTAAAAGGAGACCAGAACAGGCAGGAGTCCTGACAGCCAGGTGGAGGAGGATTCACGAAGCACAGGATCAGTACAGGCTGAGCATCCCAAACCTGAAAATCTGAAATCTAAAATCCAAAATGCTCCAAAATCTGAAACATTCTGAGTGTCAACAACATGCTCAAAGGAAATGCTCACTGGAGAGTTTTGGATTTGGGGTGGTTAACCACCCCAAAAGTAAGTATGATGTAAATGTTCTAAAATCCAAAAAAATCTGAAATCCAAAACACATCTGGTCCCAGGCATTTCGTATAAGGGATATTCTACTTGTGTCTGAAATGCTGCTGGGAGGTGGGATAAGATGAAGGCCCCAAACTGGCTACTAGCATAGATGGAGGCTGTGGGCATCTCTGGTGAGAGCAGTTTTAAGGGCAAAGTGGGGCTAGAAGGGCTCAGCGAGAACAAAGGCAAGTCTATGCCCCCTTTTCAAGCAGTTTTACTAAAAAGGGGACCAGAGGCATGGGTAATAGCTGGAGGGGAACAAGAGGCCAAGGATGACTTTTCTTAAGATTGATACCTCATACTTCTATTTGATGGATTGATGTAGCACAGCAGGGGAAATAGATTACACAAGGTAGACGGGGACAACCGCAGAAGCCGAGTTCCTGAGTAGAGGAAAGGGATGGGATCTAGGGAAGATGAGGAGAGGCTGGTTTCAGGGAAACAGCTCATCCCTGTAATTGGAGGGAAGTCAGAGCATGCAGGTGTGGAAGCATCAGATGAGGGGGAGGATGATATGGAGGCTTTAGGCACACAGCTCTCATCTCTGATCGGGACTGAGCATCAACCAGGGAAATCTAAACTCTGCTCAGGCTGCCCAGGGCCCCCTTAAGAACTACAGTCATAAACTTCAGGTGGAACCATTCAGTACAAATTTGTGCTTTTCTCTAGCTGCTGGGGAACCAACCATGAGATTTTACCAGGTAAGTCTGACAGGAGGGAGGCAGGGAGCAGTGGGATTGAGGGTAGGAGAGGGAGCTTACAATGGCAGACCACAGAACCTGCTAGTCTACCCTACCCAGGCTATTCCTCTGCCCAGTAGCTGGGTCTCCTGTAGACTCCATCCCTCCAGTGAAAACCACAGCCCGTCCCTCCATCCTGCACGGCCATTCCACCCCAGCCTAGTCTCACTCCTCACACTGATCGGCTCCTACCTGGGCCTGTGTGCTTGAGGATGAAATTTTCATCATCAAACTTCTTCCCGTAGATGGACTTGCCCCCAGTGCCGTTGTGGTTTGTGAAATCGCCGCCCTGGCACATAAACTGGGGTATGATGCGGTGGAAGCTGCTCCCCTTGAAGCCGAAGCCCTTTTCATGGGTGCACAGGCAGCGGAAGTTCTCTGGGGTGGGGAAAGGAAAAAGTGCTGAGGTCAAAATACAGAACAAAAAACAAATGAACAAAGCCTCTGAAATACTGTGTTTTGTTTAGTGTTTATATTTTCATTTTAAAGTAAGAGATGCTCATTATAAACCTTTGTGATGCTGACCTCTTAAAAGACTATAGGGGATTCAGTTCAGCACAGTAAAGAAGGGTACTGGCCGGGCACGGTGGCTCACGCCTGTAATCCCAGCTCTCTGGGAGGCCGAGATGGGAGGATCGTTTGAGCTCAGGAGTTTGAAACCAGCCTGACCAAGAGTGAGACCCCATCTCTACTATAAATAGAAAGAAATTAATTGGTCAACTAATATATATATATATATATATGTGTGTATATATATATATATATACATAGAAAAAATTAGCTGGGCATGGTGGCACATGCCTGTAGTCCCAGCTACTCAGGAGGCTGAGGCAGGAGGATTGCTTGAGCCCAGGAGTTTGAGGTCACTGTGAGCTAGGCTGACGCCACGGCACTCACTCTAGCCTGGGCAACAAAGTGAGACTCTGTCTCAAAAAAAAAAAAAAGAGGGGTACTACAAGCTACCAGTTAGAAAAAGGGGGCATTAAAGAAGGAAGATTGAAAACACACATTCTAGCTCTGCTCCCTCCCAAAACCACACTAAATTGGTGGTAGAAAACCCTGGGCCATGTGTGGTGGCTCATACCTATAATCCCAGCACTTTGGAATGCTAAGGCAGAAGGATTGTTTGAGGCCAGAAGTTCCAGACCAGCCTGAGCAAGAGTGAGACCCTGTCTCTACTAAAAATAGAAAAATTAGCTGGGTGTGGTGACACATGCCTGTAGTCCCAGCTACTCAGGAAGCTGAGGCAGGAGGATTGCTTGAGCCCAGGAATTTGAAGTTGCAGTGAGTTATAATGATGCCACTGCACTCTAGCCCAGGTGACAGAGCAAGACCATGTCCAGCTACTATGGAAAACATGTTGGTGGTTCCTCAAAAAGTTAAGTGTAGAATTATTGTATGACCAAGCATCTCCACTCCTAGGTATATACCCCAGTGGATCAAAAACAAGGATTTAAACACACACTTATACTCGAATGTCCACGGCAGCATTATTCACAATAGCCAAAAGGTAGAAATAATGTTTAAGTATAAAATATTACATATACATACAATGAAATGTTATTTACCCATAAAAAGGAATGAAGCACTGATACATGCTACAATATGGATGAACCTTGAAAACATTATGCTAAGTGAAATAAGCCAGACATAAAAAAAAGACTATTGTATGATTCCACTTACATGAAAAATCTAGAATAGGCCAATTTATAGACAGAAAGATGCATGGTAACCAGAAGCTGAGGGGTTACAGGAAAATGGGGTATTATTGTTTAGGGCAATTTAAAAAAATGGGTACAGAGTTTTTGTTTAGGATGATTTAAAAAAATTGAAAATAGACAGTGGGAATGTAATTAATGCCACCAAATGTACAGTTAAAAATGGTTGCAACAGCCAAAAAATAAATTTAAAAGGGCAGGTGGGGGGGGGGTGAGAAGAGACAATGTCAAAAACAATTTTTGAAAGTTAGAAAACAAATAGATGAGTCATAACTGATAGCAGATGTCAGAAAGCTGAATCCTAAGCTGGTAAAAGCCAAGAAGCAACTCAATTTGCACTACAAAAGCTCACATACAAGGGTGGAGTTGATCCTAAAAACATTAAGTCTGGTTGAAATCCCCTTTGAGAAAGTAGTTAACCCCTCAGATCCTTTCCCTTATTCTGCAGCTGGGGGCTGCCCCTTTTGAACCACCCTGGCAGCCAGCTGGAGGTCTACTCTTTGGTAGGTTAAAGCAGAAGGCCTCTGGAGTAGGCTACCCTACACATGCCTGAGGATTGAGGTACCATAATGACAAATAGAGATTAAGTGAAAGTTTATATCAGGGGTCCTCAAACTTTTTAAACAGGGGGCCAGTTCACTATCCCTCAGACCATTGGAGAGTGCGCACTGTGGACATGGGACGAGTCAGCTGCTAAGCAGGACAGGTAGTGGCGACAAAAAGACCTGGTGGGCCAGATATTTATGTCCCCAGTAGGCGGCATGTGGCCCGTGGGCTGTAGTTTGAGGATGCCTGGTTTATATTCTAAATGTTGAGACATTAAGCCTCACCTCTATCTCCCCTGACCTAGATGGCCAACAGCTGGATGTAGAGCCACCAGCAGGAGAATCTGGGAAAATCAAGATTACGTAGAAAAGTACACAAATGTAAAAACAAGGCAATTAGCAACTCTAGGCAAAACTAAATTATATGCATGAAAGGAAGTTACACAATTTTTACATTGTTAAAATGATCTATGACCTAACCAAAAGTATGGTAACTATAAAAAACTAACTCCATATCTTCGGAAGTAAGAAGTCAAAAGATAATGTCTAAAATGGAAAAACCAGGAAGCAGAAATATAAACCTGTTACCTACAAACAAGGAAGAAAAAAACCAAAAGAGCTAAGAGTTGAAATCAGCAGTCTCTGAGGCGCAGCAAATGGTGTTGGTGGTGGGGCACAGGGATAGCACTAGGGGGCTCTTTTTTCCAAACAAGATTTGGGAAAGTGAATTCACTCTTTAAATTGTATGTCTAGATAATAATAAAATTTAAATTGAATTTAAATTTAAATTGAAAGAATAAATAAAAGTCAACATTTAACAAAACTAGAAAGAATACTCAAGAAATAGCCCTAGTTACTTCCAGAGCTCAGGACTGGATGTAGAGAAGGGAAAGAGACTTAAGTTTTCAATGTATTGCTTTCAGTATTATTAGGATTTACTTATTTTATTTATTCATTCATTTTTATTTCAAAATATTAAGGAGGTAAAAATGTTTTTGTTGCATGGCTTGAGTCAGGGCTATAAGTGTACCTGTCACTAGAATACTGTGTTTCCCTGACAATAAGACAGGGTCTTATACTTACTCTTCCTCAAGAAGACACCCAAGGCTTATTTTCAGGGGATGCATTATTTTCCCCTCAAAGCCTCAGCTTGCAGCAGGCACAGGATGGCCAGAACCTGACAGCGGGAGCCGACCTTGTTGGTGGGGCTGCCTGCACCTTTCTGGTCACCTCTAGGATAGTAGCCGTCATGATGGGGCAGATGAGAAGGGCTGCTCGTCTTCTTGACCACTCCACAACAAAATGCATGGGTTGTGCAGATATGCTGTGTAGCCACGCCCATCACTAGGTCTTATTTTCAGGGTAGGGCTTACGTTATGCAAATGCTTAGAAATCCTGCTAGGGCTTATTTTATGGATAGGTCTTATTTTCGGGGAAACACAGTAGTGTTCATTGTGCCCATCAAGTAGGTTTTTGCCCTTCTCCTTCTCCCCACATTTACTTGTATTTTTTTTAAGTATTATTAAAAAGATTAAACCAGCACTTATAAAGCTTTAAAAATGCCTGCTCTGACTCATCTGTTACTAGATCCCAGGATCTGAGATGCCTCAAATCAACTTAGGTCAGAAATAATGTCAAGGGCATAAGGACTGAAGCAATAAGAACCTTGGGAAGGTTCACTGCTTTGCCACCAGTTTCCCGCCGTCCTGACCACGGAGCCCTGCTCACCTGCTGTCATGGGCACGACGTCTGAACGCAGGAGCATTTGGATGCGGCCAGCTGGCTTGTTCCCGATCTTGATGTCCATGTACACCTGAGGATTTGACCTGGTCTTTTTTGCAGCAGGCTCTCCCTAGGTGCAGAAGAAGCTGCTAGGTTAGAAAGAGCTCTCTGAGTCCCCAAGCAGGAGCACAAGTATTCCTCTGTACACACACCCATAACCCAACTCCAGTGAGCAGGTGCAGGAAGGTGTCCACAGGGAAGGCCTGGGGTCCTGACAGGGCTGCAGGAGGCAGGAGCCACCGCCACAGCACCCAGCTGGACACCAGTGACCAGAGACCCCAGCACTATCTGACTTGAGGCCCTGCCCCCACTGTATGTTATCTCAGCAAGCTCACCCTCAGACATGTCAGCTCGCCTCCCCTTCCCCTGCAGTCCCAGAACAGTATTTTTCTGGTCCACCATACACAACTCTCAACACCTTCAAACCCCAGTTGAAGCCCACTGACCCCCAGTTAAGCAGACTCATTCAAATACCGCCACCTCCTGCCACTATGCTCAGCCCTGCATATTTCCAGGCTAGCTACATGGAAGCCACGGGGGAAGTCCTCTTGCTTGGGCCTAAGTGTTCAGAAGACAATGGAGGAGGTTGGGCCTTGCCCTGTGCTCCAAGTAGATAAGACTAAGCAGAGGATAAAGACATTTGATACAACTGCCACATTTACTCCAACAAGAAAAGTCAAATGTTATTGTTTGTGGTTGAGTTTAACAAACGTGTTGAGGTGTCATGCTGGACACCGTGGATACTAATACTACTATTTGCTGCTAATAGCAGTAGCACAGTAATAGCAGCAAATAACTCACATAGCACTTACATGTAACCTGCCTAAGGTCACGAAGGTGGTAAATGGTGAGCTGGAATTTACACCTCAATCACCAATCGCCCCCAAGTCCATGCTCTTAATCATATTACTCCATTTCACATTTTTACTAATAATGATGCATAATACAAGGCCCCTAGCCTCACAGAATTTACTGCCTAGAAAAGGAAGGGCAATAAGCACTTAAGTAGCCTGTGCAAAAGCCAAGATGCACACGGAAATACAAAGCATGGTTTCATCAGAGTGCCAAGTGAAGATGGCACCATGGAGAGATGGGAAGTGAGACTGATGAGGCAGGCAGGGTCAGGTGTAGGGAGAGCCCCTCCTGGACTTCCTGTCGGGAGACATCAGGTGACAGGGAGCTGGTGAAAAGTTCTGAGCAGGAGAGCTAATGATTGGACATGTGCTTTAGAAAGACTAGAAGAGAGCAAGACTACAGTCAGAAGGCTAGCCAGAAAGCTACTGCAATTATCTGAATGAGAGGCAAGAGACCAAATTGGGACAATGGCATGAACAGGCTTCAAGGTAGAATTAAGAGAAAAATGTATTGGGTCTACCTTAAAAGAGGGGTCTAGGGTGATCTAGAGGGAGTCTGCTGACTGTGACAGCCTCTTTATGCATTTTGCTTTGCATCCAAATTTCTCACTTTGGTCAATGTGTGGATGGATGGTAGCAAATTAACCAAGATTGAGAACACAAGAAGACAGGATCAGAGAGGAGAGGGAATCCATTTTAGACAACTTTAAGCTGCCTATGAGTCTTGCAGGCAGAAATCTCAGAAGCTCAGGACTAGAAACAGAGACTATGAAAGTCAATGACAGTGGATGAGAGGCTGCAGAAAACCAGAAAATGACTGCTACTGTTTCGGCAGAGAGAAGAGAGAAGCTGTGAGCCAAGAAAGAAATACAGAAAAATGACAGCATTAACCAGGTGGCCAGAGGAGGGGAAGACTGAGAAGCAGTGGTCAGAGAGCTATGCCAAGAGTCAGGAGGAAGTGCCAATGCAGGTTCTCTTAGGTAGAACCTTGAGCTTTCCTAAGGTGTACAGGTTGAAGGGAAGGCATCACTACCCTGTCCTGTCTCTCCTGTATTAGGACAGGAATAGGAAGACCATGAGCCTGGTGCTGGACTCTTTGGTGAAGGAAGGCGACTGATCAAGAGGGGTGAAGAGGAGCACCTTCACTTCTCATCACAAATCTGTACCTGGGCAGAGTGGAGACATTCACCATGTAGAACACAAAATGGGTGAGAGAACCAAAGCTCTTCTCTTTAATTCTGTTAATACTGTCTTCACCAAAATACTAAGAGTTCATTATTCACTCTCTCTGCTTTTGTATACATATGTTTGCAAATTTCCACGACAACTTTTATAAAAAACAATCTCCTGTGGAAAGGGGCAGCCTGTCCTCTGGAAGCTCGAGTCTTCACTCTCACCTCCTGGGTTTCCGCCTTGGGAGGCTCTGACCCTTCTTCTTCTTTATTCTCTTCAAGAGTCTTCCCAGAAAACTTCTTCAACCAGTCATCATCTGACCAAACTGAAAGGAAAGGACCAAACAAATGTTAATAAATTTAAGCTATCAGCACAAATTGAAAAGTAGCTGCTTTGGTCAGCAAAGTAGAAGATACTATGTCGTGTCCTCTCAGCCAGAGGATTCCCTTTGAGAACTCCCTAGGGTAAGGAAGTCCCCACGGGGAATGTCAGCCCTGAAGTCCCCTCTCAGCAGGGCTAAGGGAAAAAGCTATGCCAGAGGCAAAGGAATAGCCCTTGCCAGTTCCAGCACTAGAGGCAGCCCCAAGAATGGAGTGCTGATAAAACTGATAAAGATAAGGGAGTGAAAAGGGTTTCTCTCATAACAGAATGTTCCTCTTGCTTTGCTGAGAAACTCAAATTCTTTTTGTTTGCTCACAAAGGTGGCATATGCCCTTGCCATTGTGAATCACTCTTTATCCCTGCCCACCAGGAAGCAGCACTTAACATCTATGTCTAAGTAAATAGGGATAAAAAAGCAACTAAGGCCAAACTGCAGGATAGGACAGGGAATCTGTGAGTTGCTCCTACTCACCTGGTCTGGAAGAGCCTTCTTTAATTCTCATTGGTTTGGCCAAATTGACACGAATTGTCCGTCCAAAGAGCTCTGATTCATTCTGAAAAAAATTGAAAATCCAGCTGCTCAAACTGTTAGGTTAAAAGAGAGACACTCAGCGTTTTATTTACTTCTAGGACATTTGTCCTCCCTTAATCCCTGAGCCCCTGACAGCAAGCTATGTACCTGCCACAAAGCAGCCTGTGGTTTACAGGGGACTTCCTCCCTTGAGCCAATCACACACCTCCTTTCTTGCAATGCCAGCAGACAAAGACCTATACCACCAAAAGTAACTCTGGGTTCAGACTGCTCTGAAATTACAAGGATAATGCAGTTTCCCAATACCTAATTCATCTTCGAAACTAAGGATCAGCTTTGAAATGGTGAAAAATGATTTCTTTCTGACAGCTAAGGAATATATTTGGTGAATGTGTAACAGAGAACAAAGGAGAACCTCATTATCCAGAGATAACTGGTACCAGAAAAGGTCACTTCATGTGTATCCACTTAAGGCAGTGACGAAAATTTCAGGGTAAAAAGTGAAAATTTAAAAAGGCATTGGACTTTAGTGTGAGGAAACTGAAAATAATGAAAATAAGTTTATTACAAATAATCACATTTAACTATGCACTAATTTGTAGTACAGAGATGTAACAGATGCTGATTAGTTTGAGGTATTTTTTCCAACAAAATTCTATCAACAGTATGATATGCTATCTTTGCACTTCATATCAGACATGAAAATTATAAGGATCTCAAGAAGGGTACAGATACTGAAGAGTGTCATTATTTTTCCCAAGGACATTTCCAGCATATGCAAATCATTCTCATCAGTGATTTGCAGCTACCACTTTCCTTATTAAATTTCTCAAGTGTTAACTAGTCTAACATTTCACGAAATCCTGCCTCTTTTGCAAAATATGCAGTTTCGCTGTGCAATCAATTTACATTGTGTTTGCAATTTACTATCCTAGAGACAGGGCAGCCAGTGAGAGACTGGCCAACAAGGATGATTAAGACTTGCATTATTGTTAAATGGGAAAGGATTTACAAGTGATTAATTCACAGTGAATATTTTCACATGTTGACAATTTTTACTTCCCCATGCAACCTTGTATTAATAACTGTGAAGATTTAGAAAAATAACATGAATAAGGACCCTGTGTATCACCAAAAAGCAACTTCAGTTAGAATGAGGATTTCCCACCATACCATGTTGTCGATAGCTGCTGCAGCATCCTGCCAAGGAAAGACAAGGTATAAGGTTAGGCTTGCAGCCGAATGCTTCTTGTAGCATCTAAACACATATTCAGTAGTAAAAAACAAAAACCAAAAACATCCAGGAAAATGTCACTTCACACTTCTTGCTTGACTTTAGAGCTGGTAGTGCAGCAATTTGCCATCTAGTTGAAGGCATAAGAAATAATCATCAGTGCTGCCAGGCAAGAATTGTCAATGAACAGGGCCTGACAGGAGGTCTGAGACATTATTCACATTCTACTGTCCGATTAACTGAGAGAAACTTTCTTTCAAACACCACTTCTGGTCTGGACCCATTAGACCAAGGCCCTAACCAAATGGAGAACAACTTTTTTTGTAATCAGTAACAATAACACAAACCAAAGATTAAACACAAGCAGCACAGACTTTTCTCACCTCTGCCAACTCAAATTCAACAAAAGCAAATCCCCGGTGCTTTTCTGCAAAAAGGAAAAAAAGAATTACCACGTGGGGCAATGGGAAGAAATAGGACGGGAACAAAGAAAGTAAAATCAGTTACATGCCATACTCAGACACCAGAAATTCTACCCAATCACTATTTAGGAAGAAGGAATCTCATTCTTTGATTCTTCTTAAACAACATTTTAAGCAATAAACTATTTTTTAGTGGACACAGCTAAATAATAAACTATGTTTTTGTTTTTTTTTTTTGAGACAGAGTCTCTCTCTGTTGCCCAGGCTATAGGGCCATGGTGTCAGCCTAGCTCACAGCAACCTCAAATTCCTGGACTCAAGCAATTCTTCTGCCTCAGCCTCCCGAGTAGCTGGGACTACAGGCATGAGCCACCATGCCCAGCTAATTTTTTCTATATATATTTTTTAGTTGGTCAATTAATTTCTTTCTATTTTTAGTAGAGACGGGGTCTTGCTCAGGCTGGTTTTGAACTCCTGACCTCGAGCAATCTGCCCGCCTCGGCCTCCCAGAGTGCTAGGATTACAGGCGTGAGCCACCACGCCCGGCAGGATACTCAGTTTTTAACCTCAGGAAAATGCTGATCTAACTGGAAAAGCCAAGCACAACAGTGTTAATTATAGAATTCAGAGACTCGAAGGGCCCTTAGAAAGCCAATATAACCTCATTGCTTCTGCAAATAAAAATTCCTTAGGCCCAGTGAGTTTAAAGACTTTGCTAACAATCATATGCAAGGCTGATCATAGAGCTGGGCCTAAAATGACAATCTTAAAAATGACAACAAAGCTAAAATAGAAAACTGAACTATAACTGCAATAAGAATTAAAGGAAAACCCATCCCGTTGTGAAGAGGCCAAGGCCCCATTGTGGGGCCAGGCTTTCCTGTTGCCTCATTTAAAAGCACAGTTGTTAAGAGGGGAGCAGGTGGGATAAAGTCCCCAGCAGGTAGTTTGAAAAAACAGGTGTTAATGTAGTTTAAAATCCATCTTCCTACTGGTCTATTGAAAAATTTCTTATCTCAAACCCAAGAGATAGAGAGACTCTGCAAAATATTTACAGCTAACAACCACATCGCCTCAGAACATTTCTTCTGCATCAAGATCACTGTGATGTCGACCAGGCACCACCTGAACTTTCTTATACTGCATACTAACCATATTTAGAATGCACATTTAGAATTGTGATGTGACTTTCATTTTTTTAAAAGTTCTTTTCTTAGAAGGAGGATTCTAAACATGAGAGATACCAAGAACTCACCTGTTTCATAATCCAAAGGAATCTGAATATCTGTGATGTCTCCAAAAGGAATAAAAGCAGCATGAAGAACTTTGTCATCCACCTCCTCTGCCAGCCCACCTGCAAATACGACAAGGGCCTTCTGAGCCACCATCCTCCATACTCTTGTAGAAGTCCCTGCAGCCTGGTTTGCATGCTAGCCAAGGGAAGGGAAGGGGTCCTTCCATCCAGTTCTTTGGGTACACAACCTCCCCTCTCTCATCTATTGCCCATGCATGAACCACACGCCTCTCTTCACCCTTCTTTCAGACCCTCATCTAGCCCCAGGATTAGGACAATAGGTTCATAACTGGCCTCTCTGTCTTCTTTCCCTCTATCAATTCCACAAAGCCAACTAGAATGACCTTGGGAAAGTGCTGATTTTTGAACTCATCACTTCTCCCCTTAAATTCCTTAAAAGGTTCCCCACTGCCTTCAGGATAAAGTGTAAACTTATTAACAGTTTCTACAACTGGGGCTAACACCTCTCCAGCTTTTTTCACTTTGCTTCCCCAATTCCCTGGGTTTCCAAAAAATGAGCCACTTGCCCCCAAGTGTCAGGCCATTTCACACCTGTGGGCTTCTGCTCTGGTTAACTCCTGCTCATCAGCTCCAGCGCCACAGTATCCGGAAAGTTTGCCCTCACCTCTCCAGATGGATGGGGTCACTTCTCCCCACACCCAGGCCCATGTTATCATCGTCCATCCCCACCACAGCGCTTATCAAAGTGTGCTAATGAGGTTATTCCCACTTTTTTTTCTGGCTAGTCTGGGAACTCCTCCCTTTAGGGCAGGGACTGTGGCTGAGCCATCGCCGCAGTGAATGCCCATAAAATGAATGGGCGCGAGGATCTGGAGGACCGTAATGTTCGCCTACCACTCATTCAGACCCTACTGAAGCTTAGCGGGCTAGGAAGGAAGCCGGAATGATCGTTACGTCCCGGGCTTGAGGCAAAGCGATACAGCCCCAAGACCCGGCCTTGACAGCTGCTCGCCGCCTTCCCGGTCCCCGCCGCGACCCACCCGGGCACTTGGCTCGCCCAGACTCCGCCTAGCGCCCGCGCCTGCTCACCCACGTACAGCACACGCTTGGTAGTGGCCATCTTGCTCGCGCGCTCTTCCGCCGGAAGCCGGCGCTCGGCCCGCCCATCCCCGTATCCCCGCCCCCGCTGGCCTCGCCCCGCCTCCTCAGCGCCGTGCTCTCAGGCCCCGCCCCGCCCTGCTGTGTAGACCTGCGTCCCGCAGCAGGGAGCCTCCTGCGCCGGGCTAGGGACGCGGGGCTGGACCGGGGAGCGTTCTCCCCAGCGCGCCCAGTGCTCGCCAAGTCGTGGGAAACAAACCGTGGCAAACCGAATCAACCGGGGTGTTATTGGCACATGGTAAACTGCAAATAATCAAAGGTCTGCGGGCCGCCCTGCTCGCCTGTTTTTGGACCACCTGGGATCTAAAAATGGTTTTTCCATTTTGAAATAATTGAGAAAAAAATCAAAAGATTATTTTGTGACACGTGAAAATCGTATGAAATTGAGTTTTCAGTGTCCATAGAAAAAATTGTGTTGGAACACAGCCACGCTCATTCCTTTAAGACGGTTATCAGCGGCTGCTTTCCTGCTTCCAGGGCAGGAGCTCTGGCCTGCAAAGCCAGCAATATGTGCCGTCTGGCCCTTGGTCCTTTAGGGAAAAAGTTTGCCAACTCTTAGACTAATTCATAAATCACAGAAATCACAGATTGACATAAGTGGTAGAAAATAATGGAGCCATCTGTTTTAGTTAGAGTGGGGGCTTAAGACCTCCCCGAGGTGACGTTGAAGGTGAAACCTGAAGGAAAAGGAGCCAGCCAGAGAAGTGGGAAAAGATTTCAGGGAGGGGAGACAGCTTCTGCACACTCAAGGAAAGGAGAGGCCAGAGCATAGGGGGTGGGGGTGGAGGGCATGAATTCAGGCAGGAGATGTAGGCAGGGGTCACATCATGAAGGTCATACAGGGCACTGTAAGCCATGTGAAGATTTGGGGGCATTGAGGAGCTATTGAAGAAGTTGTAACAGGAAAGTTACATGGTCACATTTATGTTTTCAAATAGTGCTCTGAGCCAGGCTCAGTGGCTCATCCCTGTAGTCCCAGCTACTGGGGAGGCAGAGGCGGGAGGACTGATTGAGCCCAGGAGTTAGAATCCAGCCTGGGCAACATAGAGAGACCCCATCTCTAAAACAAAAAATAAAAATATAATAACAATAATGAAATAGTGCTCTGATCACTAGGCCCAGAACGGATTGGGTGGAACCCTGGAGACCAGGAGGTTAAGCAGTAGACTAGGGAAGAGTTGATAGTGCCTCTCTCCTGCCAATCCACCCTCCAGAGTGATCTTTCTTTAAAATAAGCCTAAACTTTCTAGAGCTGCCTGCTTAAATCACTGCTGCTGATAACAAGGCCCTTGACAAGGGGGCCATGCTTACCCAGAGTAGACCTGACTTCCATGCCAGCTCCTCATCTACTTACCATGGCTCTTTTTCCTTGCCTCTGCCTTTGCTCATTGGGTTCTTTCTCCTTTCTCCACTGAGAGGCACCCACCAGTCCTTGTCAAAGGGCCTAGTTAAGCTTCACTCATCTAAATCCCCTACCAACACAGTCCATGGCCCCCAAGTCTAGAAGTCAATTGGAACATACCTATAACTGTAGTCAGGCATGTCTCTCTCTTTTTACTAGCTCAAGATCTCTGACACCAAGACCGGTACCCATTGTGTTCCCAGAACTAAGCAGTGGCTGTATACGCATGCAGCTAACCTCACTAACCTCAGGCCAAACTGGGGAGATGATGCCCATAGAAATGAGGCTCTGGGATCTGATTAGGAGAACTCTGTGTACAGTGCACCCATCACTATTCCAAACCAACAAGGTCACCCTTGAGAAAAATCTAAATAGGTATCCTTTATTTGGGTGTGATATAATAAAAAATATAGACTTGGTCTTTGTCCCAGTTCCTGGTACAGAGCTCCTAAAACACTTAGAATTTTCTGAGTGCTATGGGTGTCTTTTGTTATTCATAATGAGCCCATTTTGGCTATACCTGAGTTTATGCTAAACAGGGGACTCATGATGGGACCCCTGGACAGCTTTAGAATGGGGGCTGGTCACTAGAGAAACCAACCACACGATTAGAGGGTTGGAAATTTCAGCTCCACCCCTGACTTCGGGGAAGGGGAGGAGGACTGGAAATTGGGTTCCATCACCAATGACCAATGATTTAATCATCATCCCCAGGTAATGAAAACCCCATGTAGAAACTCTAAACAGAGTTTGGGGAGTTGCCAGGTTGGTGGACACATCGATGTGCTTGGAGGATGGCATGCCTAGAGAGGGTGTGGAAGCTCTTCATCCCCCACAACCCTCACCTTGCCCTGTGCATCTCTTCCTCTAATCTTTCCTGCCAGGTTTGAATGCCTTGTTCAGATGAGCAGGAACAAATGTTCTCCTGTGGGGAGGACAGTTAATAAAAAACCAAACTGAATCCCAGTAAAGAATAGCCACTGGTATTTGGATTGGCACCAGGTTCTGGCCCCCTCTTCTTCTGCAAGCATGGGGGGTCATTCATTTATCCAGCAACTGCTGCTGTTCCCGTGGGGATGCTGTGGCCAGCATAGAGGCACTCAGAAGCTCCTGTCCCTGCACATGGACCACAGGCCGGTGGGGGGGGGGCCTGGGAACCAGGCGAGGCAGAGGGTTAGCCCCGAGGAAAGGACGACACTTGATGGTGGTCAAGGTTAGGACAGTCCAACCATTTAACACCTGCATGCTACCATTCAGAATGCCAGGGAAGGGGACAAGAGGCAACAGTCCCTGACCGAATTCTGTCCATTGTGAGGGGAGTGGTGGTGATATAAAAAGTGTACGCACTCTGGGAGTGGGAGGCCAAGGCAGGCGGATTGCTCAAGGTCAGGAGTTCTAAACCAGCCTGAGCAAGAGCGAGACCCCGTCTCTACTATAAATAGAAAGAAATTAATTGGCCAACTAACATATGTAGAAAAAACTGTACAGATCCTTTCTTATATTCATATATTAATACATAATAAAACACAACACAATTAGAAAGAGAAGGTGATATGAACCCATATAGAATATATCTGATCTATGTCAGGCTCAGTGCTAGGGAGATATTTTCACAGATATTTAGTCCACACAAACTTTTTGAGATAGAATTTATTGCCCCATTTTACCCCGTGACACCCAGTGAGATCAAGCAATGTACTCACACTAGCAAAATAACTGAGTAGTCAATTTGTTTACTGAATGTATAAAGCTGCAGTAACTATCTTTAGCAATATAGCTTTTTTTCAAAAGACTACATTATCCCCTTTGGAGGGATTTCCAGAAATGACAGGGCCAAAGGGTATAAATATCACAACAGTTATAATTATTATATACCATACTACTTCTCTCATTAAATGCTCTAGAACATTAGCATATGATGTCAGTGATGAGCTCAAGCCTAGATGCAGGTGCCTGAAGGCAATAGAAAGGAAGCACATCTTTCCACATGGCATTAAGTTTTAGAAAGCTCATCTTTAGGGAGCTTTAGGTAGGTGACATGAGTGGGAAAGTGGGAAGGATCATTTTCTCCCTGTATTTCTGAAGGGAGAAGTTAGAGATCATAATCACACTTAGCTCAATTTGTATCTGTATTTATTTTTTAAATCCCCTTCTTTCCTTCTAGAGAAAGAGCACTTTGAAAGCAGCGACCAGGTCAGTTTGTTTACCACTGTAACCCCAGCCCACCGCACAATTCCTTGGCATTTAGTAGAGTTTTAGTATCTGATGAATGAAGCAGAGAAGGAAAATCTCCTTTCAAATAAAGTTGAGATGGAAAATTCTATTCTTAGCACACTGGGTGCTGGGCTCCCTGCAGAGGCTGAATCACAGACTGTGGGCTGCCAACACTGGAGGTGGTGTGTTTGTACAGAGAAACAGCCCGGGGAGGAGCAGTAAGCACAAGTGTGGTGGCACAGGTGCTATATAGTGCTGCAAAGCAGCGGGATCCCCAATGAAATGAACAAACCGAATTAAACCTCACCACTCTTAGCAACCACAGTCTCCAAGACTCTTTCTTTGATTCTTAACTGAGTCAGTGTTTGTATTGTGAAGACTGTTTGAGAGACCAGAAGCTAAAACATTCTATCTGCCAGCCAGGGACGCTTTTCTTCACTGACAGCAGGAGGGACAGATGTCCAAGTCTGCCAGAATTTAGAGCTGGTGGCCACGTTCACTTCTGCTGCCTTACAGTACCATCTCATAGGACCGGATTCCCCAGTGCCCTAGACCCCAGTTTCCTAGGTCTGGCAGGTTCCATATTCCGCAACAGTGGTCCTAAAACCTGAGCTCACATCAGAACCATCCCAAAGGCTCGTTAAAACACAGATTGCTGAGCTCTACTCCCAGAGTCGCTGATTCAGTGGGTCTTGAGTGAAGCCGAGAATGTTCATTTCTAACAACTCCCCTGGTGATGCGGAGGCTGCTGGCCAGGGGACCACACTCTGAAAACTACTTTTTCCAAGAAAAGTTATAACGTAGTAAGAACAGGACAGTTAGAATCAATCTATTCTGGGTGCAAACAATAAGGGGGTATATTGTCTGGAGAGAATTTTAAAACAATAATAAAACAACTAAGAAGTCAGTCACTTTTTATTCCATTTGTGCTCAGGCAACTCTGAACAATATCATTCACAAAATACTCCTCCTGAAAAAAATCTTTCCATTGTTTCTAAGTTGAAATAGTTGTTGTGAATGCTCTTGAATATGATTCAAATTGGCACATTTTTATTATTTATACTTAATAAACATTTGTATTC